AAAACAGGGTGTCCGCGGGTCCTTAAAATGTCTTAAATAACGTTTTCCTAATATAAGCCCTTAAAAAGTCTTAAAATGTCTTAAATTCGGATTCGATTGGTTATTCAAGCATTACGTGAAGTCTTGTGCGTGTGCGCATTTACAGAGCGCTCTTTCACGCCAAAATGTCTTATTCTTATTCACTGATTAAATGTAAGAATTTGACTCAAAAGATAATGCACACTTATAGAAAAAATGGCTTTATAAAGGTAAAATGCCCATAAAAGGTAAAAATCAATTTTAACTTATTGGAAAAGATTAATTTCTGACCACCACACAGAATATGAAGAATATTAAAAACTTTAGGACTCAGCTGTCCACAAAAGTCCTTAAGATAGCAGCTTGATAACACACTTAATCAGTTGAATCAATGACTCAATGACTCACTCATTAAGTGACTAACCGCCACTTACTGGTAGTTTAGTTGCGTTCCTGAATGAATCAACCGTTTAAATGATTCTATTCAATCGCAATTACTCACTTATTAACAGTGACTTGCTGCCACCTACTGGTGGTTTTAATTTCACATTTAAAGTATCTTTTCATTTTTTAAATTATTTCAAATATCAGTATTCAATGTTTTATGTTTAATATATCAAAACATTATTTATGCATTTGTAACTGCAGGTTAAATGCATTCATATTCTGCATTAAACAGTGTGTAAACGCATCTAAATGCCACTTCAGATGCAGCTTATGTCTGGATTGCTAAGATGAATTTTGTTGCTACTGATTTCATTTGCTTGGTAACAGCCCAAATGTCTTATTCTTATTCACTGATTAAATGTAAGAATTTGACTTAAAAGATAATGCACACTTATAGAAAAATGGCTTTATAAAGGTAAAATGCCCATAAAAGGTAAAAATCTATTTAAACTTATCTGACCACCACACAGAATATGAAGAATATCAAAAACTTTAGGAGTCAGCTGTCCACGAATGTCCTTAAGATAGCAGCATGATAACACCCTCAATCAGTTGAATGAATGACTCAATACTCACTCGTTCAGTGACTTACCGTCACTTACTGGTAGTTTAGTTGAGAAGTATGTTGAAAAGTATGCATTTTCCCCCTCAACATTTCTTATTTGTATATTCATAAATTCATTTAAAACATTAATCTCATAACATTATTTATTGCAGTTGTAATTATTGTTATTTGCAGTGTAAATTATTTAATCTGACTGGTAGCAGCCCTATAGTGTATATTGAATTTATTGATAAATTGTAATAATTTGACATGTAAGATGATGCATACATCTAAAAAGGTTAAAAATTAAAAATGGGCAATAAAAATATGCAGATTTAAGTATGTAAAAGCTGATAGAACACTGATGAAAATATTGCTTCAGAATAAATTGTTTATATTCCACCAAAAATCTCAGTGATGCAGTTATTTTGCAGGGATATTTTGTCTGGAATATTGTCTGCTGACATTAAAAGTTCACTGTATATCGTAATAAATATAATTTATTACAGCAATGATACTTTGTTTTCTTTTTAATTTAAACACATTAAATATTACATATATGTATGTAATAAAATGTGTATTTCCATTACAGATTTAGGTCTTAAATTTCATATAAGGTGGTATTAAAAAGGTCTTAAAAAGTCTTAAATTTAACTTGTTCATGTCTGTAGAAACCCTGTAAAATGAGCTGCTTAGTTAGGTCTCCTCTGTTCAGTTCCAAACATATTGAGCAATTCAACTAGAAAAAAACAACAACAAAGACTCAAAAGTGACAGGAATGATCAATCATGAAAACACATTAATTGCAGGTTTTAATTTCACATTTAAATCTTTTCATTTTTTAAAATTATTTAAAATATCAGTATTCAATGTTTTATGTTTAATATATCAAAACATTATTTATGCATTTGTAACTGCAGGTTAAACGCATTCATGTCTTGAATTAAACAGTGTGTAAACACATCTAAATGCACTTCAGATGCAGCTTATGTCTGGATTGCAAAGATGAATTTTGTTGATACTGATTTCATTTGCTTGGTAACAGCCCAAATGTCTTATTATTCAAATTCCCTGATTAAATGTAAGAATTTGACTCAAAAGATAATGGACACTTTTAGAAAAAATGGCTTTATAAAGGTACAATGATACTTTGTTTTCTTTTTAATTTAAACACATTAAATATTACATATATGTATGTAATAAAATGTGTATTTCCATTACAGGTTTAGGTCTTAAATTTCATATAAGGTGGTATTAAAAAGGTCTTAAAAAGTCTTAAATTGAACTTGTTCATGTCTGTAGAAACCCTGTAAAATGAGCTGCTTAGACAAGTCTCCTCTGTTCAGTTCCAAACATATTGAGCAATTCAACTAGAAAAAAACAACAACAAAGACTCAAAAGTGACAGGAATGATCAATCATGAAAACACATTAATTGCATGATACCGGAACATTTACGAGTAATAGCTACACACAAATATGTCAAAATGGGGTCTTAGTTTTAATTTTGTGGCTCTTTGGCTCTATCTAGTGGTCAGAATGGTTAGAGGAGGGCAGAAACTTGCTTCAGTACTTAATTTCAGATAATCAGCAGCTCCCGACACTGTATGGTCTTGAGATTTTATAACAATTCTTTAAAAATAAATCTGTCTGAAGCATGTGCATATATGGACCAACAGTTTAAGAACTGCACAAACTCGCTACAGAACATGTTATTTCCAGCTATGAGAATTATATTCCATGACGGAGTTCAGTTCTGGCGTGTTTAGATCGACACCAATAAATGAAATAGATGAGTCAGTCGTCTAGGTTTTGAGACACAGTTATTATTTTCACTATTCCATGTGCTAATTCTTCTAGGTTTTAAGATTCTCACTTATGTCTTTCCTTGCACACACAGTTACCTCAGTGTAGAAGGGAATTAAGATCATAAAAAACTGTGATATTTAGCATGTTAATATCTGAGCAGGTCCTGTGTGATGTGTGTCTTGGCCTTTGTATACTCGCATTGCCTGAGAGGAGTTCACTCCAAGTAGCTCTATGTACATTTATGTTTTTTATATGGACTTTGACAATCCTGAAAATACCTTCACTTTGCTCAATTTCAAAGCACTAAATCCAATATTGGATGTGGGAAATGTTTAGGAAAAGTTAATTTGAAAGCTTTTATAGTATATTTCGATAAGGATTGTTGAAGTCCTGGTTTCTTGTCTGTATGTTTTATCATTTGTGTGTGGATTTTTGTTTAACGTGATGTTTATTTATTGGTAATAGGCAAACAACAAGCTCCGTTCCCAGGCATAGAGCTCCCAAGTATGACGGTTAACTCTATTTGCTACTGATCACAGCAGTGAACACGCTGAAATGGTTCCTATTGCATGTGTGCAGTGGGTGAGGTCTCTCAGTGGCTGTGATCCCAGCACTCTGAAGCAAGTTACGGAGTAAACGGCTAGAGATATTTATTAAAGCAGTTAAAAAATATATTATATTATTTTAATAATATAATTATAAATTATTATAAAGAGTAGGGATGGGCGGTATGTCCAAAATAACACGACAATTATTTTTATATCATGCTAACTGCATATATCACATATTAGTTATTTTCGATATAAATTCAAATATAAAAAAGTTAATATTTTAATAACAATGTCTTAATGACTACTTTTGCACTTTTTCATTTTACAAATGAAAGGTACTTCATCTTATATATTTTTTTTCTTTTCATTTGAAATAAAACATAGTTTGTGACTAAATTTTGATTATTAGAAGCCATTGTAAAATAGGCAATAAAAGCACATATAGCGGCATAAATGTATCTACCTATATACTGCCCAGCCTTAATAATTTTTACCTAATAATGTTAAACAATGGATGTCTAAGCTTCAGAGTGCTTCAGTCAAACAGCTCTAAGAAGCCTCAAATGCAGTGCTTATTTTCAAATTCCATGTAATTACCATCGTTCAGAAATGGAACCATTGAATGTCTGTCCGAGAGAAATGCCTTTATTTGTGATCCAGGCTCATCTTGCCAATCAACACTCCTTGCCTGCTTATGAAAACCCCTAGACTAGAGTTCTCAAATGGTAGTCTTTTAGCTGCTTGTAACCAAGGTCCCTGCATCGTCTCGGAAACACATGACCTTAAATAAAGAAATAGAGGAAGGTGTTCACTGTTAGTTCATATAGTATGTAGAATTATAGGGTTTGATACAGTTTCAATAAAGATAAATAAAAAAATAGATAAAAATAAGCTAGCATATATGGAGTCAGCATATGCTTTGTGTTCATAAGTACAAAGAGAGAAACCATATTTAGAAAACTTCAAAATATCTATTGTCATACTTCAAATTTGCTATTGTTGGCTATCAGCACTTGTTGGGGTCGCTCACACAGGACGTCATCTTGCATTCCATCTGTTATTTATTTTAAATTATTGATAGTCTACTGTATGTAGACGGACACTACACAAACATCAGCCATTTATATATTCATCGTCTAGTGCCATGAGCTCCGCATTTTCAAGTAGTGAGACACCGAAATAGGGGTGTGCGATATGACGATCTGCTTTTGAAGAAATATCATAGTAACATGCTGCTGCACCCATTCTATCGGTTCTTAATATACTGTACAACGCGACATACATTCAGATCAAATGTTAACTCGGTGGTAGAGTTACGCTTACGGGACACTGCACTTGTTCGCAATCACAAAAGTACACTATTTGCATGTGCTTTAAAACCTTGCCGGTTAAATATTAAAAAGCCTGTCAAACAGTGCCTTGTTACTGGACTAAGTTATCTTCCACATCTGATTGCGCTGTCAAAAACACGCCAGGTTTACATATAAACACAGTTGGTTATGTCTAAAATGAAAGTAAACGCCTGTATACTAGATGCGTGCAGGTCTTAAAGTGACAGCAGGCTAATAGTACTAAACATGCTGCCTCTTGTCATTAAAGGGATAGTTCACCCAAAAATTAAAATCCTGTCATTATTTACTCATTCTCATGTTGTCCCAAACTTGTATTCATTTATTACTTGTGCTGAACGCAAGAGGATATTTTGAAGAATATGGGTAACCAAACAGTTGCTGGTCCCCATTGACTTTGGTAGTAGGAAAAAAAAAATACTATGGAAGTCACTGGTGACCAGCAACTGTTTGGTTACCCACATTCTTCAAAATAACTTTCATGTTCAACAGAAAAAAGAAACTCATTCAGGTTTAAAACAACTTGAGAGTGAGTAAATGAAGACATAGTTTTCATTTTTGGGTGAACTATCCCTTTAATGTTAATAAATCAACAAAACACGGGTGAAAAATCACTCACTGCTCTTGACTGAAGAACTTTAATACAGTTGCTTTAATAAGAATCAATGTATAATTTATACAGTGAATTACTGCTAAATACACCTACCGTACCTGAAAAATAAAGCACTGTTTGTTTTATTTGTATGTTATGTGTATTTGTAATGTGTATCTTTGTTCTTATTTTTAAATAACAAATATAAAATAATGACAAATATTTTTATCTTCACCCACTTTGGCCTAAATATCTGCCAGTTTTTGTTACCTTGCAAAGCTTTGTTTTTAAAATAGGGAAATTATTTTGGCTGTACTGCTCAGACAACTTGCAAAATAGTAAAACCAACATGACTGAATTTCCTGAAGAAAAAAAAAATCGTGATATGATATTTTTGCAATATCGCCCACCCCTACACTGAAATTATTTTTTTTAAACTGAAACATTGAAACCAAAATGTAAGTTGTCATTTAGTTGAAAAGCAAAACCCGAAAATAAAGTTTTGGTAATTAAATTTGCATACATTTTTGTAATTCATTTTTAAATTTGAATTTTTTTATGCTGTTCAGGGTGTTGTGGTCTCAGATGAAAACTAAACCAGTTGTATTAAAGTTCCTCAGCAACTTGATATTTTTAAGCAAAGAAATGTTAAATATTGCCACTCTACCATCATTTTTGATAATCTCTGCTGACATTTACTTGTAGTTTATCCACAATGGGCCTCATTCATGAAACATTCGTAAATATAGGAGTAAATTCTGAGTAATTTGCGCGTAAAATGGACCGTCCCGAAAACTCTCCTCCGAATTCACAAGCACTTCGTACACATCAGATTTGATAGTTAAACATGTGTATGTTAATGAATTCCAATCATTCGTAAATAGGGCGCTCGTGCACACTCATTTACAATTAGCATAATCCCCGCCTATGAATTATAGCTACGTAAACTGCGTGTCCAGGAACGCAGTGGAATATTCTGGTCTACTTTCTCAGGTTTGGCTCCAGTATATTGCATAAATGCAAAAAACACTAATAGGCCATATGCCTAACAATAAATATTCAATAACGTGTGTCCACCAAAGCGTTTTTAGCCAGCTGAAAAACTGTCAGGCGCTCTTCTTAAAACGGCCAGCTGGTGGTGCTGGAGAACGCTTTGGTTGCACAGCATTTTTCTAGCTGAGAGACGCTTTGGTTGCTATGATTTGAAATATCCACGGCAGTAACGTATTACTAGTATCTCATCTTGAAGATTATTACTGAATATAAAAATGCAGTAACCAGCAATATTAACTTCTCTATTGTTGTTCAGTTGTTGTACAAGTAGTATGATTGGTCGGTGTAGTATTTGTCCCGCCCCTCCTCCATTGATTGGACGTCTGGGTAAAAAGTGACAGTGACAAGCGCTGCGTTTTACCCAAAGCTAAACAGTTTATCAACTCTCAGCTACAAGGAAAAAAAAAAACGGCGCAAACGAACTTGTAAAACATTATAATGGAAGTGCATCAAATTTAGTGTCATCAGTTTGCCAAAATGAACACAGAAGAACGTTTTACGCACCATTTACATGAGGTAGGGCGCAGGTGTAAGTTTCTTTCCTACCAACTAACATTTTGAAAATACGAACATTTTCATGAATTCGAAAGTTTAAGTCAGAACGGCTTTACGAACAATTTACACAAAAAAATCGTTCTGCTCTTGTTTCATGAATGATGCCCATTGTGTGCACTAATGACACAGAGTCAAAATGAGTCACCGGAAAAGTGTTCATAAAATTTCACACTTTGCTCAATAATTTTGGCCCTTCAGTTATTTTGGCTGAAGCAGAATTTCCCTTTTGTTTACTGCAGTATCCAACCGTATCAGACAGCAGATCACCGTCTGCATTGGTAGTCGCTGCATTTATGTCACTTCTCATTTGCATAAAGATAATCTCTGCCATGTAACTAATCACTGCAGGAAGATTATATCATCATTACCATGCTGATTGGCTGATAACACCACAAGATGTCTGCAAACACAGCCGACAGCAATTTCACAATTTTTTGTGTAAGCTCTCCAAATAAATCTGCCACTAGTAAAACATCTACCATAATATAATGAAATATTTGTCATTTAATTATTGTTTGAAAAAAACTGAATTCGAATCTACTTTTGATTGTCTGTGGAGAAAGATTAGGGGTGGATGATATGGCAAAACATCTTTTTTTTCTTCTCCATATAATGTTTGACTGATTCAAGATTATTATTATTATTATTATACATTTAACTAGTAAGTCTAAAAATGTAACTATAACATGATTCAAGTAACATTATCTTTATGAAAAACCTATTCAAAACCATCTGGTTAAAGATAGTTCTTCAAGTGCAGCACACATGAAGTAGTCAGCATGCTGTAAATGTCAAACAAATTCACTAGTTAAATATCTTTGCCGAAAAGATGCATGAAATATGAAGGCAAACGTTTGCAGCGTCTCGTGCATGTTATGACATTCACAAAATGTGGTCCATCTGGCTGCTAGTGCTTCCATTGCCCTCCAACTACTTCCTCTTTTGAAGCCAAGAACCCGTCCTCTGTGAACGGCACCTTACAAAGATGCAGTTTTACAGAACAACATCTCCTTACAGCAGCGGTCTATTAAATATAATTAGGAGAGGTGTCTGTAAGCCTCATTAGCCTGTAAAAACGAAGGTATGAATATGGAACGGCTCTGTGGGTCGTGCTCTTGCTGAAAGGCATGTGTTGAAGGTATGCATAACTCTTTTAACCCCCCTGTATTCTTAAATCGACCCACCAGTCTTTCTCTCTCATGGTTACTTGGGTCGGAGTGTGTGTTTTGGCTGTGTTCCTGTGCCCTTCCTCTGGATGAATGACACTAGCCCTTCTTGACCGCTCCTAAATTACAGCAATGTCCTGGAGTCTGTCATGTTGACTCGAGGACAGATTGATGTGTAGATTCCTGCACTTAGTGTAAACCACTAGATATTCGCTTCTATTATTGGGTATATTGGGGACCAAGAACTGATCATTTTGATTTCTGCATGGCATGAGTTTTTCATTCCTATTTGGATTGAATTGTAGGTGGGGTAAAATGGGAAGCGTTCTCCAACAGGCTAGTGTTACAAAATGTGTACTGGGGTCCATGCTGGACTCTTTAAATTATAGTTTTACCATTTGAGTATTTGGGTTGGTTGGGCCATTGCCTAAACTTCTAAGGCCACTGCATAAACTTGAACCCATCTTACCCAATCTACTTTGATGATGAAGTGTGATTGATTGGCCTCTTGGTCTGGAAAACTATTTGCTGAAAAGATGTGACAAACTAGTTGATGTTTGTCTTTATAGTAATGATGGCCAAGGAGAAGCCACCCATCACTGTTGTGGGGGATGTTGGAGGCCGCATCGCCATCATTGTCGTAAGAAATGCGTGTTTTTGGACTAGCTATCAGTGTGACAATCATTTTTGATTGACTGGACAAACGATGCATGTTTCCGTCCTGTAGGATGACATCATCGATGATGTGGAGGACTTTGTGGCAGCAGCTGAGATTCTGAAAGAGAGAGGTGCTTATAAGATCTACATCATGGCCACCCACGGCCTCTTGTCTGCAGACGCCCCGCGCCTCATCGAGGAGTCCGCCATAGACGAAGTGAGTCATTCAGCTCATTTACTGAAACGGCTCATTCTAATTCTCAAAAAAAAAAAAAAAACTTACA